CTCCATTCATCTGGGGTCTATAAGCTGTAGAATTTCTGTGCCTGATCCAGAAAGTTTCGCACATTTCTCCCATCAAATTGCTGTTGAGGTTGTAACCATTATCAGTGATGATTGACTCCGGGATCCCAAACCGACAGATAATACGATCTCGGACAAAGTCTACCATAACTTTCTTGGTCACTACTTTGTATGAAGCTGCTTCAACCCATTTAGTGAAGTAATCAATTGCCACTAAGATGAACCTGTGTCCGTTTGATGCGGCAGGCTCGATTGGTTCAATAACATCCATTCCCCAGGCGGCGAACGGCCACGGTGAGCTCGTTGCAGTAAGCTCGTTCGGAGGTACCTTTATCATATCCGCACTTATCTGACAGCGGTGGCATTTTTGGATATATTGGATGCAGTCCATTTTCATAGTCATCCAAAAATACCCTGCTTGGAGTATTTTCTTTGGTAAAACAAAGCCATTCATGTGCGGCCCACAGGTCCCTGAGTGCACTTCCTCCAACAACTTGGTTGCTTCTATGGCATCGACACACCTCAATAGTCCCAAATCGGGAGTCCTCCTATACAGGATTTCTCCGCTGTGAAAGAAATTATTGGATAATCTCCGAAGCGTGCGCTTCTGGGTAGCACTAGCAAGCTCCGAATATTCTCCTGTTGTCAGGTACTCCTTAATGTCATGAAACCAAGGCTTTCCGTCGGCTTCTTCCTCAACATGCGCACAATATGCTGGCTGATCATGAATTCTGACATGGATGGGATCAATAAAATTCGTATCTGGATGCTGAATCATGGATGATATCGTGGCTAGTGCATTTGCGAACTCATTCTGTACTCTCGGAACATGCTGGAATTCCGTCTTCCTGAACCTTTTCCTCAACTCCTGTATGTGATGCAGATACGGGAGTATCTTGGAATTCTTGGTAGCCCATTCTTCTCGGACCTGATGTATGAGTAGGTCTGAATCTCCAATTACTAGCAGCTCCTGAACGTTCATATCAATGCCAATTTAAGCCCCAAGATGCAAGCTTCATACTCGGCCATGTTGTTGGTGCATGGGAACCTGAGCTTGGCGGATACCGGGTAATTCTAGCCGGTTTCTGATACCAAAACTGCTCCTATACCGACTCCTTTGAAATTCGCGGTCCCATCGAAAAACAACCTCCATCCATCATAGGACTTTGCAATGTCTTCTCCTATGAAATCTACCTCCTCGCCGGGAAAGTATATCTTCAACAGTTCGTACTCCCCTCCCACAGGGTTTTCGGCAAGATGATCTGCCAAAGCTTGTCCTTTAACTGCCTTCTGAGTGACATAGACAATGTCGAATTCGCTTAACAAAATTTGCCACTTGGCGAGCTTTCCACTAGGGCATGGGCTTCTGGAAAATGTACTTCAGCGGATCCATTCTTGATATAAGATAGGGGGTGTAAGCACAGAAATAATGCCTCAACTTCTGGGCTACCTCGGTCAAAGCACATCATGTTTGTTCCAGCAAGGAATACCGAGCCTCGTACGGGGTAAATTTCTTACTGAGGTAGTAGATAGCTTGCTCCTTCCTCCCTGTCTCATCATGTTGCCCCAAGAAACAACCAAATGCCCATCCAAAACTGCGAGATAGAGCAATAAAGGCCTCCCAGGCTCGGGCGGAACCATGACTCGAGGCGTAGACAAGTATTCCTTGATCCTGTCAAAAGCCTTTTGACATTCATCGGTCCATTTTGCGGCAGCATCCTTCTTCAACATTTTGAGGATTGGCTCGCAGATAACAGTAGACTGAGCTATGAACCGACTAATTTAATTAAGCCTTCCTAGAAAACTCATCACATCCTTCTTATTCTTCGGCGGTGGACACTCCTGAATAGATATGACCTTTGACGGATCCAGCTCTATTCCTCGGCGGCTCACGATGAAAGTCAATAGCTTTCCTGCAGGGACCCCGAATGCACACTTGGCTGGATTCAGTTTCAAGTTATACCTTCTTAGCCTGTTGAAAAACTTTCGGAGATCCTCCATGTGATCTACAGCCTTTTTGGAATTGATGATGACGTCGTCCACATATACCTCAATTTCTTTATATATCATGTCATGAAAGAGGGTAGTCATGGCCCTCATATAAGTAGATCCAACATTCTTCAACCCAAATGGCATCATTCTGTAGCAATACATTCCCCATGGCATGATAAACGCCGTTTTCTCTGCATCTTCCTCATCCATCCACATCTGATGGTATCCCGCAAAACAATTGACGAATGACTGCAACTCATGCTTGGTGCAGTTGTCGATCAGAATGTGTATGTTCGGCAAGGGGAAATCGTCTTTGGGACTGGCCCGGTTGAGATCCCGATAGTCGACACAGACTCTGACTTTCCCATCCTTCTTCGATATTGGCACAATGTTGGCTAACCAGGTTGGATACTCAACCACTTGAAGAACTCTGGCTTTGACCTGCTTGATGACCTCTTCTTTGATTTTCAAACTCATGTATGGCTTGAACTTTCTGAGCTTCTGCTTTATCGGCGGACATGCTGGATCTGTTGGCAATTTGTGGGCGATGATCGATGTGCTAAGACTAGTCATATCATCATAAGACCAAGCGAAAATATCCTCATACTCTCTTAAGAACTCTATATATGCTTTCTTTTCTGTCTGTGATAGATGCACACTAATGCGCGTTTCTTTGACATTTTCTGTATCTCCCAAATTGACGACCTCGGTTTCATCTAAGTTGGACTTAGGTCTATTCTCAAAATTTTCGACTTCTTTGACAACCTCTTCTGGTATTTCATCTTCCTCTGAGTCTATGTCCGTTTGTTGCATAGCCTCGTTGTAAGTTACAATTGTTGGTTCATCATCGAGATACGTAATAGTAATACTGGAAAATAAAGTAAATGGAAGAGAAAACTAATAAGTAGCGAGATATTTGATAACTTGGAAAAAATTCTTTTGATTAAAATTCATTAATGTTCGAACATCGGAGCTCTTTTGGAAAGTAAAGACATTGCAAAAATTAAAGAAAAATGACTAAAACAAATATGCATGGTGCTTGTTCAACCTTGCTACCCCGAAGATCTCCGGGCAACGGTGGTCCTAATTGACCAATTGGTGAGGTGCTCCCCTCGATTCACAGCCTAAATGGAAGGGCCTTTCTCCTCTTCTTCTTCAAAAATCACACTGCAGTCCATATCCTCCTCCAGAAATAGGTTCTTCATTGCCGCAAGAGCCTCATCTTCTTATGATCCATAGAGAGTGTTGGCCGGCTGAAATGTCTGCTCCAACTGAGGTAAAGGGTGCTCCAATGGATAATATGGACCGCGCCATGGTGGCGACCACTGGTTGAATTCCTCCCAGGTGTTATCATACCCCAGGCCAAAAGTAGTACCATGCTCCTTCAACTTGATGGGTTTGGTGATGCCCTGAAGATTCTTACCCAACCCTTTTCCTGGTTCATATCCGCTCCAATTCAGAATGCTTTCGACCTTGTTACTCCACCATTTGTCTTTATCCACTGCGTTGACCCGCTCAATGTGGTAGTATGTTTCTCCGCCTATTCTTCTTCTACCTCCAATCATCGGAATAGTCTGGCGACCGTAGATAGGATTGCTACCGTCGCCGTGGATGATCACTTCTTGATGGTTCCACTCAAACTTCACTGCTTGATGTAAGGTTGATGCCACAGCCCCAGCGGCGTGGATCCAGGGTCGTCCCAACAATAGGTTGTAAGATGCTTGTACGTCAATGACTTGGAAGTCGACATAAACCAGATAGGCCCTATTTGCAAACACAGGCTAATCTCCCCGAGGGTGGACCTCTGAGATCCGTCGAAAGCTTTGACGTTGATGGCTCCATCTTTTATCTCATGCAATCCTTTGCCCAACTTGTTGAGGGTGATCAATGGACAAATGTTGAGGCTAGAACCTCCATCGACTAAGATTCTTGTGATAAAATGATCCTCACATTGCATAGTGATGTGCAGTTCCTTGTTATGACCGAGCCCTTCAGGTGGTAGTTCATCCTCGTGGAAAGTGATTTTATGACTTTCTAATACCTGCCCTACCATGTTCGCCATTTCTCCTCCTGTTATGTTGCTCGGGACATAAGCCTCGCTCAATATCTTCATCAAGGCATTCTTATGTGCCTCGGAACTCTGCAGTAGTGCCAAGATGGAAATTTGCGTCGGAGTCTTGTTCAGCTGTTCAACAACTGAGTATTCCTTAGCCTGTATCTTTCTCCAAAGATCATCCGGTCCGGTTTCAACGGGACGTCCAAAGGCCTGCTTGCTGGACTCAGATTAGGTGCTCTGGTGTGTACACTCTGCCTGTTCTAGTCATACCTTGTGCGGCGATTGCTTCACCTGTGCGCGCTTTTCCTTTCCTCTTTGCCTCGGCTGTGTAGTCCCAAGGTATGGAATTTGTCTGAAATGGAGTCATGTCCGACATGGTGACCGGAATGGGCACCCTTGGAGGCAACATAGTAACTTCGATTGGTGCAGGCGCCTTTGGAGTCCCGAACTCTACTTCAATTGGTTTTGGCACCTTTGCAGGAGGTGCTTCAAACTCGAATGGCACAGACACATTCACCACATCGCCCTCAGATGGCTGGATTTGTACAACAATGGGATTAAGAGTGACCGCTGGCTTCTTGGGCGCATCTCCTTCAGATATCAAATCAATTGACCCTTTGGGGTCCCAATCGTCTTCAACCTCAATCATGTGGATGCCTCCACCCTTATGGTCCGGTAGAGGGTTGTTACAAACATTATGAGCGGGCTCCTTAACTACAATGACCTTGTTGTCAATTAAGGTCTGAATCTTATCCTTCAACGAGCGGCACTCGTCGATGGTATGGCCCTTCATCCCCGAATGGTATGCACAGGTTTTATTTGGGTTGATCCATTAGGAAGGGTTTTCTGGGGTTATGGCTGGGATGGGTGTTACATATCCAGCGGCTTTGAGTTTCTCATACAATGGGTCAATGGGTTCAGCAATAGCGGTATATTATCTGGGTGGTTTGCGGTCAAAGTTGGGTCTTGGTCGTGGGAAGTTTTGCCGGTTTGGTGGTGATGGATAGTGAGAAGGTTGGGGTGTGTAGGCTTGGTATACGGGTGCGGGTTGGGAATATCCTGGCAAGGTGGGTTGATATGTTGGTGGTGGAGATGATTGGTAGACGGGTGGTGGATTTTGGTAAGTAGGTGAAGGTGCTTGGTAGCTTAGAGGAGCTTGGTATGTGAGTGGAGTTGGAGGGTAGGATTGGTATTTTAGGGGAGAGTGGTTTCTCTGCGCAGCCATTACGGAGTTTACATCTTTCTTCTTTGACGTACCACCAGATTGCAAGGCTTTGTTGGTGGCTTGCAGTGCCTCAAGATTAGTGACCATACTGTTTTTGATGCCTTCTTCGATCCTTTCTCCTAGCTTGATGATATCTGAGAACTTCTGCCCCTTTATTAGCATCAATCTCTCATAGTACTGCGGATCCTGAGCACAGACAAAAAATCTGTTCATTTTTCTTCTTCCAGAGCCGGCCTGACTTTGGCAGCTTCCGACCTCCAACGAGTAGCATACTCGTGAAAGGTTTCAGTAGGCTGCTTCTTTATATTCTGAATGTACAACACGTCTGGCGCGTTCTCGGTGTTGAACCTGAATCGGTCCATGAAATCAGATGCCATGTTTACCCAGCTTGTCCACTTCTTTGCATCTTGGCTGATGTACCAAGATAAAGCGAAACCCTTCAAGCTTCTCGTAAATAGTTTCATGCGGATCTTTTCATCTCTACCGACCCCCACTAGCTTGTCACAATACATCCTGAGGTGAACCCTGGGATCACTCATACCATCAAACATCTCGAACTTAGGAGGTTTGTACCCCTCCGTGAGTTCGACATCAGGATGAACACACAAATCTTCATAGTTCAGACCTTCTACACCCTTGTTACCTTCCACGCCTTGAACCCTGTTAGTGAGTTTCTTAAGTTCCGCAGCCAAGTTCTGGATGAGTGATTCTGATTCTGACACATCTGATGTGGGTTGTGTGTAGTAGTTCATAGTATCCACAAAGATGGGGGTATCCTGGTGGTTCGGAGCATTCTGCGGCTCAGGGATGAGTGGCGGAGTATTGTTTCGAACCTGAGCTGGAGTCTTCTGCGGAGGTGCAGGGATCTAATTGTTGACATCTGCAGCAGCAAGGGAGATGGACAGACTTGCCAAACTCCGGACCTGATCCAATTCCTCTCGGAACCTTAGTAAAGTCTGCTCCAGATGAGCAGCAATCTCTTTGGTGATTGGGGTACCCTGAGAAGTTCCTTCAATTTCCTTTCTGGCTTCGCTATCTCCCATCTTTCCTTTGTTCCTATTTCTGGGAGGACTCGGAGGAGGAGGAGGAGGACCCTTAGATCTTGTCGAATAAGCTGATGGTGCCAGAGCGCACGAACTAACCTTTGGGG